CAGGGCTTTTCATTTTGCGTGATGCCTTGGCATATGTTAATTGTATCCTTTTGCTTCTTTCAGATGTATAATTTTACTAGTTTTGCAATGGTTTTGAATGAAGTAGACAAAGACATGGAGAGTGTGATTCCCAAGACAGACTGCAGGTTACGACCTGACATCAGAGCCATGGAAAATGGAGAGATAGGTAACTAGCATCTGCTGAAGCTGCCAGTGAAGACTCGTTTCTTAGGGGTTGATGCTTTGTTTTATTCTTCATGATTGTTAGCATCATTGGAGTACTAGCATTTTTAGTCTTAGAGATGGTTTAAATTAACATTCAGTTTAAATTCAGTAACTTTTATTTTAATTTGGAAATCTGAGCAGACCTTATTAGCTCATATTATTTTGGTAATACTCCCCTGAGAATTTAATATACTGGAGATGGCCAGAGGCCTATTCTGACTAATTATGTCACTGTCTACTTCAGAATTTATGTAGCACCTCATCAGCCTCAGAGGAGAGTGTGGCCTCCCCTTGGTTAATTATAACTTACATGTTTTTGTGTGTGGGTATACTAGATGTATATACTTACGGAGTATGTGGGATAGTTTGATAACTGGCATACAGTGTGTAATAATCACATCAGGGTAAATGGGATATCAATTACAACATTTTAAAATTTAAATTTAAATTTTTTTTTTTTTGAGACGGAGTTTCACTGTTATTACCCAGACTGGAGTGCCATGGCACGATCTCGGCTCACTGCAACCTCTGCCTCCTGGGTTCAAGCAATTCTCCTGCCTCAGCCTCCTGAGTAGCTGGGACTACAGGCGCGCACCACCATGCTTAGCTAATTTTTTGTATTTTTAGTAGAGACGGGGTTTCACCATGTTGACCAGGATGGTCTCAATCTCCTGACCTCATGATCCACCCGCCTCGGCCTCCCAAAGTGCTGGGATTATAGGCATGAGCCACCATGCCCGGCCTTAAATTTTTTTTAATACAGAGTCTCTCACTCTGTCTCCCAGGCTGGAGTGCAGTGGTGAAATCTTAGCTCACTGCAGCCTCTGCCTCCTAGGTTTAAGCTATTCTTATGCCTCAGCCTCCTGAGTAACTGGGACTACAGGCGCATGCCACCACACCCAGCTAATTTTTGCATTTTTAGTAGAAATGGAGTTTCACCATGTTGGCCAGACTAGTTTTGGACCTCCTGACCTTAGGTGATCCACTGATGTTAGCCTTGCAAAGTGCTGGGATTACAGGTGTGAGCCACCCCACTCAGCCCATTTTTCTTATACTGTTAAATTTCTTCCAACTCAGTGGTTCTCAAAAGGGGGGCATTTTCTCCCTAAGGAAACATGTAGCAAAGTCTGAAGACTTTGGTTGTTACTTTTTGGGAGGGACTACTGGCATCTGCAGGCCAGGAATGCTGCTAACATCCTCTGCTGTACCAGGCAGCCTCTTATGATATAGAATCATCACATCCCACATGTCATAGTGCCACAGTGGAGAAAAAGCTTGAAAAACTGTTTAAATTTCTTTTTTGGGAGGAGGGGGTGGTGGACAGACTGGCTTGTTGCCCAGGCTGGAGTGCAGTGGCATGAACTGAGCTCACTGCAACCTCCACCTCCCAGGTTCAAGCAATTCTCTTGCCTCAGCCTCCCAGGTAGCTGGGATTACAGGCATGCGCCACCATGCCTGGCTAACTTTTGTATTCTTAGTAGAGATGGGGTTTCTCCATGTTGGCCAGGCTGGTCTTGAATCCTGACCTCAGGTGATCCGCGCACCTCGGCCTCCCAAAGTGCTGAGGTTACAGGTGTGAGCTACCATTAAATTTCTTAAGAATGGAATCTGAAGGAGCTCTGTGAGGTCTAAGAATTTAGAATAATTTCACATTTATTTAGTTTTTACACGCAAGTTTTCACTGATAGATTTTAACACAGTTCTTTTGGCCTTAAGAATAAACAGGTTGTTCTTGGCAAAGACAAGGTTGTTAAGAGCATAGGCAGTCAGAGATGCTGCATCTGTGATACCAGCTCTGACTCTTACTAGCCCAGGTAGCTGTTACATTTTTTGCTTCGTTTTTGACTCTGATATTTGTGTTTTAATAAAAGGGAAACGATGCTGATGCATGTAGATGGTTCTCTTGTGAAGTTATTGTGTTTAATACTGTGACTGGCATCCTCTGCGTAGAGTGTTAATGCTTCATATTGATGATATTTTAGATCAAGCTAGTGAAGAAAAAAAACGACTTGAGGAAAAACAAAGAGCAGCCCGCAAAAACAGGTCCAAGTCAGAAGAGGACTGGAAGACGAGGTGCGTGCCTGAGTCGGGATGTGAGGCTGCTGTGTGCAGACAAGGCAGGGTTGCCAGACACTGGGACCCCAGAGCAAGGGCCTACCTGACACAGACCCTGCCAACTTGTTACAGGCCTGAAAAAAGTTATTTCCACTGACTTTTATCCATTCATTCATCCATCGTAGATGGACATAGGTCGATTCCCTATCTTTGTTACTGTGAATCGTGCTGTCATAAACATGGAGATGCAGGTATCCCTTTGATACATTGAATTCCTTTCCTTGGAATAAATACCCTGTAGTGGGAATGCCAGATCATATAGCAGTTAAGTTTTTTAAAGAACTCTCCATGCTGCTTTCCATAGTGGCTGTTCTAATTTATATTCTCACCACCAGTATATGAGCTTGCTTTTTCTGCATCCTCGCCAGCATGTTATTGTTTCTTTTTAATAACAGCCATTCTAACTGGTATAAGATAGTATCTTGTGGTTTGTATTCATGTTTCTCTTGTAATTAGTGATGTTGAGCATCTTCTCATATCCTTTTGGCTGTTTGGATGTCTTCTTTTGAGAAATGTCTATTCATGTCTTTTGGATTATGTGTAGGATGGTATATTAGAAAAATCTTGGTCTTTAACATTAAACCTAAATTTGCCAGCAGTGACTAGATTGGGCAAGTTATTTAACTGCTTTAGACATTCAGCTTCTCCTGTGTAATATGCAGCTTTAAGAGTCTGAACGGCATTTACTCTGAACCAGGTGCCTTATACACTGTGGTGGGTATGCTGTAAATTTTAATTTCTTTATCCTAATTTACTCCTGACTGCTTAAAAGAATGGCTTGTTGTGGAAAATAAGAGCCAGCCTAGAGGATAAACCAGTTAGACAAATACGTTGTTCGAACCACCCTATTAGAAGACCATTTCTGTCAAGTAGCTTAGATGCCGGTGGGAAATCATCATCCCTTGGTATCATTACCTCTTCTGGAATATTATTCTGCAGACCTGTTCCCTAAGCAGAAAAACAGCATCACTTCAGCATCTCTTTGGAAATCCCTCACTCACAGAATGAACTGCTGCAATAGAAAAATACTGCAAGCTAGTGAAGAAACAGCCTGTGATTTTGAATCATTTCTCCTGTAAGTCTTGACCTTTTTCTTTTAACAGGTGGTTCCATCAAGGTCCTAATCCCTACAATGGAGCACAGGACTGGATTTACTCTGGCAGCTACTGGGACAGAAATTACTTCAATTTGCCTGACATTTATTAAAATGGATACAAGTCAGGGTGTTTGGCTAATCTATAAATAAGTCTTAAACCTGTGTTTTTAAATTTTTTCCCTTGGTTTCTACTTATCTTTAAAAAGAGAAAACACTCATGAGATAACTGCATTTCACCCAACAAAATTAGGGTATAAGGTGATAATGGTGATGAAAGTCTTAGGAAAAATGCATAATTTTGCTATAAAATGTACTTATTTGGAATACTATTTTATATAGAAGTAAAAGAAAACTGCTGGGGAATATGCTTTTTATGTTTGCTGTTGCCATATTTACTGAAGGTTTATACCTAAATGTAACTTTAGCTTTATGGAACTATATAGTAATCCCAAATCAAGTTATTTTGAATATTTTTATGCTGTCATGCTTGAATGTTTTAGATGTAATCTTTGACATATTTAGAACTCTCCTCCTATACAATGTTTATGTGCTCAAATGTAGAGGTTATGTCATTTTGTGAAGACTCCATTGACAAGATGGCTTTTATTCATACTGATCCTCCCAATTTTATCCCTTCCATCTTCCAAGAAAAAAAGATGCCTGAATATTCAAAACAAGTATTTCTGATTTGAAAATAGTTCTAAAGAATTAAACTGGAAAAGTATTTCATTTACTTAACTCTGAATTTACTTTTACAGTTTTCTGCCATCAGTATCATTAAAATGTTTACATTTGAACTGAAAATATGTATGAAATCTAGCAATTCACAAAAATGCCCTAGAAATACAGATTTTAATCACCATTACATAATGACAAACCTTGTTAAATGCTTCCATTTCCAGTGGCAAATGCCACTAGAGAAATTAAGTTGCACTCATGTATGTATCAAACTATATAAAAGGAGGTCTTGTGCATTTCAAGTTTGCAAGGTACCTGTATACTTAAAATGTGTGTGGAGACCTACTGTATAGCAGCTTTGCCCCTTTAATTGGGGTACATTAATCTTAAATCTTACAGTATTTATCCACCCAAACCCCAGACTGAGATATTACTCCCAGGGGCCTTAGGTAGCTGCGAGTACATAATTTTAATTGCTGTCTTGAAGTTAACAGGTGTTATAATGAAATAATCTACCTGATGCCAAATAAAGGCTTTAGAATGTTCCCCCACATTGTGGTTTCTTTTAAATATACTGTCCTTACAAAGAAAGAAGTCCTTGTGGTACCATAGCTCCAAGAGCCAAGGAGATAACCAGTTACCTGATGTACATAGTGTTAAGGAGGTATTTAGCATTCAGTTAAACTTGGTCACTACCATATTAATTCGGTGTGAATCCCAAATGCTGAAGTAAGTGGAAATACCTGGCTAGAAAATTCATTACTAGATCTGTTAGAGCAGGAATGGTTTAAACATATATATACATAGAAATTGGAAAATGATACTGCTTTTATGTTTGGTTGGTTGCTTGTAGCTCTCCTAAATTACAAAAATAAGCAATACAAACTTGTATGCTTGCATGAAGTTTATTGATATATTACACTTGGTGGCAGACTCCTCCCTGAATGATGACCCTTCAAACAGCATCATTGCTGGATCTGTTAGGAATAATGCAAGTTGTTTAAAGTTAAACATGCAACTGAACATGTGAAATGAGTAGATCAGAAATGCAAGGTCTATCTTCTGTTACTAAGCTTAACTAGTTAACTGTGGGCTTTTGCACTACAATATCCTAGCACTTTCATGCTAAAAGCCATTTTTACAATTCCACTAGAAGTCCATAAAGACTTTAAATAAGACATGCATGTAGCCCTCAGATAGTTGTCTTTCCTTAAATATAGTAACTGGTCCTTGAGCCTGCTTATGAATGAAATGTAGCTTTTGTCCATCTCTCAGATGTTCAACTTAAAATTCCCACAAATTATTTTAGTAACTAATTGGTATAACACACTTCCTCTGTTAACCTTCCCCTTACTGCTAGCTAATCTTTTTCTACATAGCAATCGGAGGGATCTAATAAAAACAGGAATCTGATTTTATCATTCTTCTGCTTAAAACACTTGTGCTGGCTTCCCATTGAACAATCAAAATCTTCATCTTATGCAATCATCTCCCCATCCCCTCCCAGCCAGTCTCACTGTGGCCTCCTTTGCTGTCTCTGGAACCCCGTGTTCTTTCCTGCCCTACAACACAAGCTGGGTGCACCCTGCAGAGCTGGCTCCTTCTCATGCTTGGGTGTCAGTTTATATCTGAGCCTGAACACGCTATCTAATAGTGACACTTAAAGGCAGGCCTGCGTCAGTATGTTTTCTCCATAATACATGTTGTAATATACTTTTCTGTCTGTCTCCCCCATTAAGATATAGGTTCCATGTTTTGCTTACTCTACTGTCCACACATAGGGTAGGCGGGCTAGCATAGGGCTTGGCATTAAGTATGAACAAAAAACTTAAAAATGACTTGTGATCAAGCAGTCTCATCCACAGTTAATCTCTGCTGTTACTTAGCTCTTTACTCTGCTTCTCACCTGTCCATCTACTGTCTCTTACCACATGGATTAAGTGCTCTGTTACATAATCAAGACTTCTCTCTTACCTTGCTCTTCAGTTTTTTCCAGCTCCTCCCTAAACATGCCAACTAAATTGTCCTGTTTTAAAAATCCATCCCCTTTTCGCATCTACCACTGTGTTAGACAATGGACTAGGTATTCAAAGGCCACTGAGTTCATTAATGTCATGTATTGGGCATCAAATCCTTGGTGCAAGTCATTGTGGTACAGTGTATCTACTATGCATTTATTAGTAACTGGTGGTTAGGAAGTTAGATACAGTAACCCCAGGAAATTAGAATATACCCCAACTTATTACATGTTATCTCAAATTGTTTTTAGCTATGTAAATCTCCAGGTCAATAAATCAAAATGCTTAAAACATGTTTTTTTCCCTACCCACATATTGTGGTAGGAAAGTGTACCTACCAGTTTTCAGTTTCTGCTTTGCGAACTTTGTGAGCAGTAGCCACAGTTATCTCCCCAGCAATACCATAACTTCCAAAGGGAGCACATTTGTCACCAGATCCTGAATTGTTTTTAGCTACATCTTCTACTGGGAAAGCAACAGAAAGAAAAACAGGGCTTTTTGGCTTGGGGACATCTTGTCCACTTGGAGGATTAGCATTGTGGGGACTTAGAGTATGTTTCTGGAATTTCCCATCTGCAGGAACAGCAATGGGCACTTGTACAGCAGCGTATCTCTTCAAGACATCTGACTGCGAAACAACAGCATGCCCAGGAAGAGGTTCCCATTCCTGTGCTTTCTGAAATTTTGAGCCTACTAAGATAAAAGGTGGGGCACTGATCTTCTTTGTATCGTCCATCACATAAATGGGAGAAGTGACTGTTGGTGGATGCTGCAGAAACTGCGGATCCTTAGGGTTAGATATGTAGAGGGTTGCTTGGGGGAAAGGCCCAGGTGCAGGTGGCGGTGATGAGTGACTTTGTTGATTATCAGTTAGACAATAAAGGGTCCACATGTTGGAATATGGTGGTAGCTGTTCTGGTTCACTTGCTGCCATTGCTATAAAAAAAATTTTGCAGGAATTAAAGTTTTGGTCTATCAGGCACTATGAATAGTAATGTCTTTGTAAGTCTCTTTCACATATTAAAACAGCTGTAGTGATATGTACCACAAAGCATGCTTTAGAGAGGGCTGCATAATTTTGTTTGGCAATGTGAAAGAGATTCTCTACAGTGGGAAAACGAGAACAGTGTTGTTGTGGTGGCAAGTGGGAGGGATGCTACAGTTGTGGCTAAAGAAGCAAACCCATTCTAAGTTGCTGTTTCTAGCTACTTCACCTTTAGACATGACTTCTATAAGATCCTTGTAGAGCAAACTGGACAGTCAACACAACCTTTAGCTTTACCCAAAAATCAATTGAGTGTAGAGTGTGTTAAGCTATTAAAGGAAGTGTTAATGCATCTGCAAGAAGTTAGCACTAGGTATCATCTTCACCATATAATCAAAATATCTCTGGCCCTATCACAGCCACCATTATCTCCCATTAATTTGTTACCACACATACAAAATCACATAATCTAGAACTCAAAACCCCAGAGAGCACCACTTTTAGGCAAGACTTGAAATCATAGGTCCTAGGTGGCAGTGAAAGGCTGGTTAGTCCCACAGGCATTCTTTGGGTTGAGAGAAAGAGGTCTAGGAGTGCCATCTATCCATAATGCACGTGTACAAGCCAGGTCTTCAGTTGTTTCACAAGGAGAGAGGTTTTGATAATCTGAATTTTTTGGTTCATATCCCTTTAGTATTGTGGACAACTCTATTTTACTTTGGAAATAGTTAAGCATCTGAAAACAGTGACTTCATCTGGAAGTACTGCTTAAGCCACAAATATAGCACCAGTTCCACACACTCCACTCCCAGCACTGTCCTCTGCCTTTCCAGCTGTGCAGAATCCCTGTCACACTGCCAGACAAAATGTGACCTTTTCTAAACACCTGCTTTGCCAAACTTTTTGAATCCTTCTGGCTTGGTTAAGAGTTTTTGCAAAAGGAATGGGAGGATTGGCTCATGCATGTTCCTTCTATCCCTAAAAAGAGAAGGGCCCCTGCAATTATCCATGAGCAGGAGGGTGAGCAGACCAAATGCCATAATTAGATACAGATGAAAGTCACATCATGTCTATATCATAGGAAAACATGGTGATAGTTCAGCAGCCAAGAAAACAGCTTGATTTTTGGCACTTGCCAGGGAGAGGGAACTGATCAAAGGAAGCCAATTATGTGAACTGCATCTATTGCTGTTCAAGTGCCGGGGTATCCTTTCTGCTGCTAATACCTCCCTGCTCCCCTGACCTTTCCCCTCTCCATCTAAAATCCCTCAGGTGCAGGAAGCTCCCAGGCAGAAAACAAATGCATGGCCCGGCACCCCAAACCTGGTTACAGAGGTCTCCTGATTCAGTGCGAAAGCAAACAAGCCACCATTTTTTCACTTTTTAAAATACCACAGCCTATGTAAATGTACTGCTATAGTTTTACATTCACAAGAGGAAAATTTCAAACCAGCACCCCCTAATTACAGTTTTTTTGCAATCAGCATATTTAGATCACATGAATATATTTAATACCTGACAAAAGAATAACATAAAAGTGCTAGATGACCAAACTTTGAGGCCAGGCTTTGGGGACATCACTTTAAAATCACTCGTCTCATAGTACTAGAATTTCAGATACAACAAAGCCTTTACATAGCTTTGACATTTAAAAAAAATCTGAAAATAAAGACTGACCAGTCTGCAGGGAGCCTACATAGATGGCTACCTGAAATGCAATTTGTAATGGAAATATCTGATTTTCTTACCTGGCTTCATCAAACCTTATTCAGCTGTTGCTTCCCCTTCTGGTTCGATTTCTGGTGCAGTGAGACCTTCTGGAGCAGAAGGGAAGGGGCCACTAGATGATTTTACAGATGTACCTGAGTGCACTGCTTCTGCAGCTTCCCCAGAGAGCACAGGTTTGCCTTCCATATCCTGGGGTGCAGTGTTTTCCCCGGACTCCTCCTGCCCAGTATTGTCAGAGACTATTGAAGTGATCGCCACTTCAAAGTGCAGAGATTTTTCAGAGCCTATTTTGATAGTGCCCTCTGCATCCAGGGGTTCTGCAGGTACCTCAGGCTGACCTTTCAAAGATGTGTCTGAGAGCAGAGCTGTTGCTTCTGCCTCCATATATACTGAGGGATATTTTTCATTCTCCTCCAACTGTTCAAGTTTTACAGATTCTATAGATTTTTTAGACATACCAGAGGTTGTCTTTTCTACTACAGGTTTGGGACTAACTAGTGGTGACTGCTCATTTTCTTTAAGACAAGCAACTTGATCAGAGAAAGGGATAACTATTTGTTCTGGCAGTTAATCGACATCAACAACTCCTTCAGTCACAGGCACATCATTATAGATAGATGATATATGAACAGTTGACATAACCTCAGTATCAGCCTGCAAAGGGACCTCAGGAGCTAGATCATAAGCAGGAGGTTCTTGTTCATCCTGCAAGGGGACTGAGGAAGCCGTTGATAGTTCAGCCTCATTTTCTTTAGGTTGAGAACCCAAATATACATGGACAGATGTTTGGCTCACAACCTGCACTTCTAGTACCTTTCCAGAATACACAGGAGGAGCAGCCACCATGACATCTTCAGCAGCCTCTGAGCTCGGCACCTCCTCAGTAACAACAGGCATACTGGTTGCCACATCTACCATTAAAACATCAGATTGATCAGAATGAATAGATGAAACTTTACCTAACATCTGAGCAGCAAACTGAGCTGGGTCAGCTGGGACATAGGCAAACTCTGGTGAGACAGCTGTTGGAGGTGGTGAGAAGGGTGGGGTAGTAGTCTTAGGGGTAGCTGCTTTGGGAGAAGAATCATGAACTGCTTCCGTTTGCTCAGCACCTAGCTCAGCATAAGTTGATGGAAACTGGGTGGTTTTGTCACTATATCCTGTTCCTGTTACATTGTCCTCCTCTGTGTCTGTAGATTTTTCCATATGTGTAGGTACTTTAGATTCTACAGATGATTTTTCTGGTTCTTTTAAACATTCTGCTTTCTTCGGTCGTATTGATCCTTCTGACCACTTCTGTACTAAAACACACAACCAGATGGGTTAATTAGCATCTATGCCCACAAAAAAATTTTTTTAAAGAAGGCAATAAATAGGGGTGTGGTGGCTCATGCCTGTAATCCCACCACTTTGGAAGACTGAGGTGGGAGATTGCTTGAGCTCAGGAGTTCAAGACCAGTCTGGACAACAGTGAGACCCATCTCTATCCCCCACACTGCCTGAAAAAAAAGCAATAATGGGTTGAGCATTCAGACATCAGTATAGACACAAATACAAGAGTTTTTGTAATTTAGTGTGGGTAACAAAACACTCCTGTTCTTATCTACACCAAGACCCTCAGTTCATTTTCTCAGAAATAAGTGACTAAACAGGGCAGTGGCAAAACTAATAATCAGATATCATCATAAGGTGGTCAGCATCAGGAGAAAGATCATAACTTTTTGCCCAGAAATAAGGAAGCTGAAAACCTCCATGGAAAAAGCTTCTGATCGAACTACACAGAACTGGGGGAAGAGGTTGGGGGGAGGGAGACCAACTTTCATCTTTGTTGATGTAGTAACTTAGGAATAACATAGATGCTGTATATTAATAAAGGGATTCCTCCATTTAAGCAAATTGGTACATAAAGTTTAACTTAATGAATTGATAAGCTAGAGGACTATAGGATTTTTTTTTTTTTTTTACATTAGGAAAGTCACATATTCTAACCTAAAAATGGTAGCTCCTTCCAGTGATGTGTGATTATGTAGCTAAAGTCAGACAACTGACCCAGCCAAGAGGAAAAGGAGGGTATCTCTATATCTGAGAGTGCAAACTAAGTGAATCCTCAGGCATGAGGAAAATTCTCATGGGTTGGAAGGACACAACAGCTCATGACATACACAAAATCCTAGAGCTGGAAAACTGCTGTAGTATTTTATGTGCATCATCCACACACCTAACTACCTTAGTCGTTACTCATCAAAAATTTTCACATCTGCTTGCTAAGAATTTTCCTTTGGGAAGCATTTCTCTAATGAAATTTACAGGAAAAGCAGAATTTGCTTCACAAGAATATATTAGGCTCAAGTAAAAACTGTCTGGAGACATGTTTTCAGTAGGTTCAGCTGCATTCCAAAAAACAGTGACCTGCAGTGTCTCCTTTGACATTGGCTGCTGATGTTTTTCAAATTCAATTAAGATTTCTAATTCTGGACATAGACATTATACCAAATGCTCACATACAGAGAAAGATTCAAAAAGAGAAAGCCACATCTGTCGTTACCGCCCTCTGCTTAAAACAATAACCTTATTTTCCTAACCGTTCACCTCTTCAGGACTTTCCCATCCACTTTTCAGGAAAGCCCAACACATTTGACTGAGTGCCTATGCTACATGTAAGACTGTTTTAGGCACTGTTGAGGATAGAAAGACTATTAAGATGAGATCTCATATAGCTTATATTTAATAGGGAAAATAAGATAAATATAGGTTAAAAAGTACAAGTACCTAATTGGTACTAATAAAGATCTTGGGAGTTCAGAGTAGGGGGAAAAATCTTATTCAATCCTGATCTTGGGAGAGTTACTCTTATGCTTAGAATATAGAAAGCTACAAAAAACATTGTTCCCATCATAACAACAGGAAAAAGCCAGATAGATAAGCCCCAAAATCCTAACTTTTCTTGAGTTCAGCAGAGAGCTGAAGTCAAAAGGTAACCATGTAATCTGATTTCAAAAGAGAAACCAACCCCTCCAAGGAGAAAAGAGACATAAGAACAGTCTCAGCTGTAGCAGGGCCCAGAAAGAATACGCTGCCATCACACCAGCTGTTAGGAATGTACCAGCTACAGTCTATTTTTTTTTTAATTCAGATATTGAAACTTGTGTATGTTCCACGAAGTTCTACCAGCTATATCTTAACATACTGGCAAAGGCCAAAGGTGCACTAGATGTCAGTCTGGGATTGCCTGGGACTCCAGACCCAAGGAAAGTTCACACTCATTAGCAAACATTTTCCACAGGCCTCAAATAAAAGATGGAGGCAGGGTGGAAGGCCAGAGAGAGGTTTCCTACCATCAGAGCAGAGACAGAAGACACTGGCCCAAGACTGACCACAGACAGAAGGCAGGGTTTGGCTACCACATGGACGGAGGGCAGGAACACTGAGAAAGCCCTGTGTCCAAAACCCAGGTGCACAGGTCCAGCCTAGGCCTAAGGCCAGAACAACAGGGAACCTCCTGCCCTGCCAACCAGCCCAGCACTGAGAAACAAGAGACACCGGGCTGCCAGCAGGGGAGGGGGCAAGAGCTTGGAGAGATGCCCTTTGTGGGGTACAGTGGCAGAGAAGGCTGAAAGCTGAGAGGGAAACACAGATGCTGAGAAATACTCTCTAGTACCCATCCCCACCCTCAGCAAAAGGTCTTGGCAGCCCTCTCCTAGAAGGTCTTGAGGCCTATAGTACAGTGAAGGTATGAAACCAACAACAAAACCCAAGCCCAGCTCCTAACCAGACTGACCTCCCCACTCCCATGCCAATTCAAGCCTTCCTATTTTCCCCAATAAGGTCTTAAATTCCCTAACTACTGATTTACATACCATGAGCATTTTTTCAAGAACGCAGCCAATCTACGAACTGGATTAGTGCAATACCTAGAGTGCCTACACTGGACCTATCTGACAGCTTGCTTGTGATATGATTTAGGCAACTCTGGAAAGGACCACCTGCCCTTTTAATTAAAAGTATCTCTCTCACAGGTTCATGGTACCTGAAATTATGTCTAGGGGATTAGTAAAATGATCTATTTTTTAAACATTAAAAAAGCTCAGTATTTTTGTCTCTAGAAGTGATTAAACAAAAACATCCCTTATAACCACCATTTTGGAAAGGTAAAGCATTATATAATTATGAATCCTTAGTAATTTACCAGGGAATTTATGATACTGTTTTCTTAACTAACTTTTCTCATGGTAAAAAAGTTAATGAGAAAACCTAGGTTCCAGTCCTGGCTCTGAGATTTAATAGCTGCATGATTTAATAGCTTCAGGCCTCCTCATTTGCAAAATGGGGACATTAACTCTGACTTCATGGAGTTTCTGTGCACATTAAGTGAAATAATACATCTGAAAACACTGAAGAAACTGTAAATCACATATAAACAGGGAAAGAATGAATCAATACCCAGTTAAAAAGAGATACAGAAAAATTTGGAAAATGTGGTATGAAATTAAAAACTCTAAATCTCAAATATCTTTAATTCAGCTTAAAAGCTATAAATCTCAAATATCTTTAATTCAGTTTTGATTAAAATGAAATTGGCTATTTCCTAAACTTGGTGGTAAAATATAGGATGTTTTTTCTTTATATATGTGTGTGTTATATACTTAATGGATTTTTTCAATTAAAAAAATTAATACCAGATGCCTTAAACTTTTATAGTGTTTTTGAAAATGCAAACACTAGGTCAGGTGCGGTGGCTCACACCTGTAATCCCAACACTTTGGGAGGCTGAGGTGGGCAGATCACTTGAGGCCAGGAGTTGGGAGACCAGTCAGGCCAACATGGTGAAACTGTCTCTACTAAAATTACAAAAATTAGCTAGGCACAGTGGCATATGCCTGTAATCCCAGGTATTTAGGAGGCTGAGGCAGGAGAATTGCTTGAGCCTAGGAGGCAGAAGCTGCAGTGAGCTGAGATCATGCCACCGCACTCCAGGCTATGCAACAGAGCTAGACTCTGTCTAAAAAAAAAAAAAAAAAAAAAATATGCAAACACTAGACCAGCCATTTGGCTTTGTCTGGAATACATGGAATACCTTGAAAGAATGTTGGCAATTATATACTTACTAGTTACCATATACATCTAATGTACATCTATATTGAATTCATGTGATTATTTATTAAGAAGGCTTTGCTCTAATGTTTTAATGTCTGCTTTAAATACTTATAACAATTGCTGACTTGTAACCTTGAGATTATGTTGGTTGTAGAAGACAGAATTTGTTAAAGTTGTAGCCTAGATTTGCTAAAGGTTGATCCTATCAACCTCATGAAGATTAACCCACCAAGACTTTGGTGATCTTGTTCTACTTAACGCTGACACAACTATATACACTAAGAATTAGGAACATAACTAAAGGCATTCCTTCTTGTAAAGAAGTTCCTTTTTAAGTATAATAAAATGACTCAAAATGGTTAACTTTAAAATTCTTTGCAGAATCCTGATTTTCCATGAAATCAATAAGATAAAGAGATAAATTACAAGCATACAGCATTTTTTAAAATAGGCACAACTCACATGGAGAGTCAGGGTATTAGGGTACATAACTGCCCAAGAAGCATAAGGAAAAGGACATATTCTAGCATGGAATGGGAAAATCTGGAAGGTTATCCAAAGACCAGAAGTGTATAAGCAGCAGGGCCTAACAAGATATACGAGAGGCTGTGTAAGAATTGGAGGTGCGAAGTGGAAAGAGTGCTTAAAATCAGGAATATGTATGGTACATAGTCTTAAGAGTTTAAAACAGAAGATTCCAAGTAGTCTGTGTTGAACTTAATGGAATGAAAATGCCAGAAACTATAAAGTAGATGGTTTCTTTTCTCCCCTCTTCCTCCTTTCCCTTCCTTCCAGTATGTGTTAGACACTGAACAATCAAAGAGGAATAAGACTTCCTAAAGATCTCAGTCCAATTAAGGATTGAGAGACAGATGATTGATTATATGCCAATGTGGTCAATACAGTGACTGAAATATGTTTGGGATACAACAGCTTTTAGGTGATTTTGGTTAAGCTTTAGAAATGAGGAGCAGGTGTGAAAGTGGCTAGTAATTTGGACTGTAGGAGGTGGAAAGCAAAAGATGGCATGGTCAGTTTGAGGGAGAATGCCATTCAGCATATCCTAGGTAATCTCTCCCATGCCATGGCCCTCTTCCTTCACTCTCCTCTTGGTTCTCCAGCGCTACCATCAAACTTCTCTGCGCCACAGAGAGCAACACCAAATGCAGTTTGGCATCTCTTTGGCTTCGTCCTTTGCTCTTCTCTT